AGAGAATGTTGGGCTTCTAAGACATTTCCATTTGGAAGTTTGTCTTTTTGGCCCAAAATGGCCTACTGGGCAAAGAACTGCCCTTGCCTCGACTGCTGAAAGTAAAATAGTCTATCAAATACTCTAAGCCTGTAGCCAATTTGAATGTACCAGAGATGCTGAGAAACTTTAGGTGACTGTCCAGGCTGCCAGCTGTCTCTGTCTACTCTCACAAGACTCCCAAAAGTTGCTTGCATCCTTCTACTATTTCTAAGGTATTATTCTACTCTTCTCAGGTCTTTGATGGGATTGAAGACTAACAGTTATAGTTACATCCTTCTTGTATCTTAGCTAGAACATATTAAGTATTAGATTTAGATTCTTTAGGATAGGACACCTTTTGGAATGATCTTTGTAACATACCATTTACCTATGCTCCAGATTTCACTGGATTTCAGTATGTGTCTCTTGTTTGATATTGTTTGTGTTGGTTGTAGTTCAATCTTGTCTAGGTCATTATCCCTTATTCCTCTTGGGTATGTGTTCCAGCTTTACCACAGTGAGGCTTCCCGTAATTGCCACACCTACCTATGGCCTGCTCCTTAGGTGGGGCCTAGACGGAAGCCCTTAAGACTCAAGATTCAGATGTGCTGGCTCTTTTGGTTCCTGGTGATCCTGGATGCTGGATGGTAGACCAAGCAGAGTTCTCCAGAAATCACCTCTCCTGGATCCTGTAACCTATCCCTTTACTTGCTGTAAATTACCTCGAAATAAACCTCCCTTAAACTACGTGGAGTTGCCTTAATAAATCCCCCATTAGTGACATGCCCAGTCCTTTGCAGGGGTAGTTCAGGTAACTATAGCAGTTGCAAGTTGAAACGATTGCAATGGCTGTGTTCCACCCAGTGATGACATTGTGCAGCCCCTCTCCTTATCATATAATCTCTCTGCCCATAGGCCACTGTGTTCCTGAGCTCAGAGGAGTCGGTAAAAATGTCTTGTTTAAGGCTCAAAATTCAACCATCACTTATTCTCAGCACCTGAGAAGTCATGGATCTCTGCATTTACCATTGTTCACTGCAAAGAGAGGGAGGCTTTTCTCATTGAGGCTGATGGTAGCATTTGTCTATGGGTATAATATATAATATAATATAATATAATATAATATAATATAATATAATATAATATAATATAATATAATATAATATAATATAATATAATATAATATAATATAATATAATATAATATAATATAATATAATATAATATAATATAATATATAATATAGCTGTTTAGAAGATCCTTAGATGCTATGTCCATTTAACTAGACAACAGTATTAAGTTCCCCCTATGTCCTATGATGTCCCCAAGCATGTGCTTTTGACCAGATTTACAGTACCGTGTGTGGGTTCTTTTCTGTGGAAAGGACTCAAATGTAATCAGAGTGTAGTTGGTTGCTCATATAACAGTTTTTCATTGTAACAAAGAGGGTGTATCTAGCCCAGGAGGATCACAGCTAGGTGAGACTGCCGGAGGCTTTTCTCCTTCAGTAGCCAGTGTGGTATCTTCTGGCACTATGAAAGCTAGCCAGCATGGAGGAAGCATTCAGCTGTTTTCTCTGTATCTTCCAACCAAGATGGGTGGCATCTTCAGACATAGGTTCTGCTCATCTAGTTGTAGAAGGCAACCAAGGTTAGAACTTGTGGCTTTATAGGGCTGGGAGGACAAAAGCAAGGCAACTCTTCCTCCACAGCAAAAGTGGCTCATCTCTGTGATCACCTCTGTGATTCTGACACATTTTGAATTTCTATTTCTATTTGGTGCTTCAGTTGCTGTCACTAATGGGGTCACATAGTTCCCCAAGCATTGCAGGCTACAGCCCATACTCCCTGTTACTGCTCCCCCTAGAAACCAGCTTTTCTTTACCTCCTTCCTACACTAATCATAGTAGCATGGTCAAAAAGCCAATTCCCAGGTTCTCACATCACTGACAACATGGTTGTCTATCTGAGCAGTTGGTTTGGTATAAAAGCCAATAACCAATGATTTGTGGATCAGAATCTGAGGAGCATTCCCAGGTCAGTGACACATGCGCTTGGTCCTGGAAGGACTGAAGGCCTGAGAACTGGAGAGGCTGCAGGCCTGAGGAAAGGGGTGGCCTTGTTTCTGTTCCTCGCAGAGAAAGGAGGGCCATAGAGGCCAGACAGACACACATGAGCAGAAAGAGGGTGGGTCAGTGAGTGTGTGTCGGTGGGCCACTTCAGTGGGCCACTTCAGTGGGCCAGGTTGGCACTTCCCCCCTCTGGATGCCTTCCAGTGCTTTCGGGCAGTTAACCAGCAGTGACTCTCCATCCACTTGCCTGGGTGGACAAGTTGTGTTAAGAGTGTTCCAGCAGCCAAAGAGAACAGATGCACCAGGTAGATGGGTAGGTGCAAGGACCTGAGCTCCCTCTGTCACACACTCTGTTACCACCATCTGCTTATACACCATCCCAGTCATGTCCACAGGACCAGGGGAGCCCTTCGCACTTGAGCCCGGGCTAATCTTTCTGTGTCCAAGGCAGTCAGATGGCTCCAGTCCTGTAACCCAACTAATCCCCAGACGGGAGGTGTGCAGGCCTGGCCTGAGATGAAGGGGAGCTAGACCAGGCCTGGGAAGGGTAGGTAAGGAGTTGTCTGCCCTGTTCTCTGAGTCCTTCCCTGAGGCTGTGATTGTCAGGTAGATGGAGACCAAAGCCATGTTTATTCCAGTACCTGTGGAAGGAAGGCATGATGAAGAGGTGGGAAGGTGTCAGACAGAAGGACCCTAGCCTGCTAGGACCAGTCCTTGATCCAGCAGGACAATCCAAAAGGTGGAGCCAACTAAGGTCCCTGGAAGTTGAATTGGTCTGCAGACCCTGGGTGGAGACACACAGACAGGCTGAGCCGATCTGAGCCAAGCCAGACTATAGTTCCCCGCCCCTCCCCCATGCCTGCCACCCTTGGCTGGAATTCCTGCCCCATCTCTAACCTCCAGTCCCTAATGTAGACAAGAATATGGACACGGAGTCGTAGCAATCATTAGCCAGTGGCTGCTCAGTACACATGGACTTCAGCATCTGGAAGACAAGGAGGGGAGCCACATCAGATTCATCAAGTTCACCATGATCCTCAGGAAACAAATGCCGTACTTAGTGAAACCTGCAAGTCTCGGGGCAGACTGCTCCATGAGCTGGGGCAGCTGGGCCACCACCCTGAAGACCAATACAGCGATGTGAGAGTTTTCATAGTAGCTGATGGAGGCTCTGAGGGGTCCTGAAGCGGGCCTATCTGCAGGGAGTATGAACTGGAAGCCCTGACCCTTGCCTTCTCACTTGAACACCTGAAGGTCGATGGTGGTGCCAGCAGCCTGTGCAGCCTCACACAGCTTCATCACCTAGGTTCCATGCACCTTCTTCCGCCAAAGTGCCAGCCTTTGCTATATCGCTGCCTCCAGCCTTGTGGATGTCCCGAGTCCAGCACCACTACCAGCTGCCACCAATAACTGGAACCTGAAAAAGGTGGGCATAAGGGTGGCTGCCAGGAGATTCCACATCGCCTCCTACTGGCCACCCGTTTCCATGCAGGGTCCCCTCAGGTCCCAGCCAGGCAGCTCCAGCAAGGAGGGCAGGGGTTGGGAGCAATCTTCACATAGCTGATTGTTTGACTTGTACTGAGCGATTAGTGTGCACAGAGCAGTGTGTTAGACATGGGGATAGTGTGGTGCAAAGCAGCACCCAGAACCGTGCCTGGCATATACTGGGTTCTTGGCAAATGCCTGTTGGACAAGGGGTATTCATGATTGCATGTAATTATCTCTTCTGCCGAGGGTCCCTCAACAGCTTTTACTTTTATGCGCAGACTCACTCTTTCCCCCTGGAATGCATACATTTAGGCCAAAAGGGAAGCGGACGCCATCAATGCACATGCGCCTTTGTGGCCAACTGCTCTTTGTTCCTATGCTCTGCGTTTTGTATTGCACATGCGCGTTCCCCAGGCAGTTGTGGCGGTTTTCCTACTAGGCAGGGGGCGTGGCTTGATGACTCATTTTGATGATACTATTTCCAGGTAGTGTGACTGGCTGGAGAGTGGCATCTATTTCTGAAGGTAGGTGGACTCATACAATGACCAGAGACGAACTCAGCAAGTCAGCTTGCCCTGTGTGATGAGAATGGAAAATGCCTGACCGGCCACCAGGAGACAGGTGTCACTGCCATCTGTGCAGAGTGACCCGAGGGGCCAGTCCAGGAGGCCCATGAAGGGGGAATGGGATGAGGGGGGCATTTAAGATCTGTGCAGATGTTCTGAGAGATATTTGGTTTCATAATGCTTTGTTTGGATATTTTTAAACCTTACTGATCTTTTGCTTATATATTATGGATTTCATTTATGTGTTTTCATGGATTTTGTGTCTGTTTCTTTTCCTTTAATTTTTTTCTCTTTGTTTTTTTCATCTTGGTTTGATTTTTTTTTCCAATGGACCTCTTTGTTTGCCAGAGATAGAGAAAGAAGACCTTGGGTTGAATAGGTTAGGAAGGTGAATAGGTTAGGAAGGTGAGAGGATCAGGAGGAGATAGGAGAGTGGAAACCAGCATCAGATTATAGGGGATAAAATTATTTTCAATAAAAAGAACAGTATATGAGAATGAATAGTCTCCAGTCTTAGAAAAAATTGCCCATTACTGGGAAGGGGAGGGTTTAGAGCATCTATTCAGTCCTCAGCCTATCTCCTTTCTTCCCTGAACTAGACACAGCATCTCCGGATCTGCTGCTCTTCATTGCTTCACACCACCTATACTTCGTGGACTTTTGGCCAGTCACCAGGGTCCAGACCTCAGGACTAAACCCTGGGGTGGATGCTCTAGACATGGCTGTCCATGATAAATGGGGCATCTGTCACCAATGAGGATCATGGTGACGGGAAGCTGCTGGTGAGTGTAAAGAGCCAGTGCTGGCTGTGGGGACCGAGTTTATCTCCAGGAACAGACGTCACATGATATATGTGCATCTAGTCTGGTACCCACTTCACAGAGTGGGACATCCAGGTGTTTGCTTGCAGGATTCCAGAATATTTCCACAGGTTTTTGCATAGCTGTGGCCATGGTGTACCTGTAGGCCCTGCCTCTTTAGTTTCTCGTGGGGTTGTTGGCTTGAGTAGGTAAGCTGGTGATTCCAGGATGCAGCTCCTATTGCTCAAAACCCCCTAGAGTATAAAAAAAGAGGCAAATCCAGATGTTGTGCAGTAGTATCCTAGCATAACAGCTGTCTTCATGAGACCAGCTGTGCCTGTTTGTAGGTGTATCACCTCAGCCCACAGATGGCAGGTATTCCTTCCTAGAAGCAAGGTCAAGGTCGGGTCATTGGACCCTCACTTGATTCACTCCACCTGGCCATTTGCATATAATTCTGCCCTAAACACACATGGCCTGGACTCCAGGAAATGCCAGAGGGTGAGATTGAATAGGCCGAGGGAGGTGAATTGAGGGCACTTGTACTGATACACACTTAGGCACTCAAACATTTACACACTCTCTCACATACATTAACATGCTCACAGATAATCATGCACACACACACACAGACTCACTCTTGTACTTGGAGTTGGCTCGTGTTTTGTCAGCATAAGATAGAGCCTTTTGGGAAGGGGACCCTCAATTGAGAAAATGCCTTAAACACATTGGCCTGTGGCCAAGTCTGTGGTGCATTTTTTGATGGATGATTGATGTCAGAGTGCACAAAAGACATGTAAACATGGTCGTATACACACATAATCAATCGCACAATCATACCTTTAGACATTCTTCATAGTCCTTGCACTAATGATACATTCTGTGCTAGTTAGTTTTTATCAGCTTAATGCAAACCTAGACATTAAAATAAAAGAGATAATCTCAGTTGAGGAACTGTCTCTTTCAGTTTGGTATGTGGTCATATCTGTGGGGCATTTTCTTAATTACTACTAATGAATTACTACTACTGTGGGTGGTGCTATTCTTATGCACATGTGCATGGTCTATATAAGAAAGGTAGCTGAGCACACGAGAAGATGCAAGCCAGGGGAAGCAAGCCAATAAGCAGCTTTACTCCACGGTTTCTGCTTTCAGGTCCTGCTTTGTGTTCCTGCCTTGGCTTCCTTCACTGGTGGATTAACCTGCAAGCTGAAATAAACACTTCCTTCCCAAGTTGCCTTTGCCTTGATGCCTATCACAGCAACAAAATGTTAGTTGATCATGCTGCTACATGCTTGCACACTACAAAACACACACTCATATACATTCTGCCACTGATACTCATGTGAACTCACACACTCTTCCATACTTTTCTTCTCTCACCCACATCACACATTCACACTTACTTTTGTGCTCATAAACACATGTTCTTGCATGGTGTCACTAACTCCTTACATGCACAACTACCTCACTGACACTCGCTTACACTGAAGATGCTTATACAGTTGTCTGCTATACACTGTCACTTCTATGCACTCTTACACACACACACACACACACACACACACACACACACACACACACACACACACCACTGTAATGTACTTCCAAGCACATACCCAGAGAAACACAATCCTATACTCAAACCCATGTTTTTCAAATCATGCTAGTATAGCCATAAGCAAACTTATGATCATATAAGCACACACATCATGATACCTTAATGTACTATTGTACTCACCCACACTCATGCTTATACACACACAGTCTCACATAAGCTCACAGTGTCAATCAGTGTCTTAAAATCACTGACCCTAACCTATCCCTAGCCCAGTAATGATCTTAACCACAGCTCTAATTCTAAACCAAACCCTAACAGTATGACTAACTTTGACCCTATCCCTATCCTGCCTGCAAGATGCACTAATGTCATAGTGACACAAAGCTTGTGGGAGTCACCAACCAGTCTGATTGGATTTAAGGCCCAATCCTTGAGATGGAACTATCCCTGACATAGCTTGAGGGCCAAGAACCTGAGACTGCATAGCCCAGGGGCTTAGGAAAACAGAATAGCACTGTTCTGGCAATGGAAAATAGCAATAAAAACACTCCTAATGACTGTGCCCTTTATCTCACTTTCCCTTGTCTGGCCGCCTGTTCTCCATAGTTCTTCACCCCCAAGCACCACTTGTACAGACTGGGGACCAGCCCCCTACCCTGCCTGTGTCTCTTCCCCAAGCCCCTTTAGCGGTGGTGAGAAGGGCAGGGGGGAAGCAGACATGATCCCTCCTCAGGCATCTGGGAGGGCCTTGCCCCCATGGGCTTCACCCTTTCCTGCGGCTCTCTCCCTGACACATTTGTTAAAAATCAAACCTGAATAAAACTACAAGTTTAATATGAAAAAAAAAAAAAGAATCACACCCAGAGCCCTTTAGCGCTGGAATTCACATACTTTGCCCAGGGTGGTGTTGCTTCGGGAGTTATTGGCATTGCATTTGATGGCATTCTACCCTGAGCTTTCCCTTGTACCTATGGGCCACTAGACCTGACCTCAGCTTTCAAGTTTGCAGAATGGATGCTCCACTGAAAACAAACAGAGCAAGTTTAAATGATCTGATTGGTTCTCCTCCTATCTCCTAAGTTAGTGTGAATATTTTTCCTGTTTTCTTAGCCATGCTCTTTTTCCAGGACTATGGTTCTCAGAAGAGTCAGGATTTCACCAGGTAAAGTTATATGAATGGAAAGAATCCCCAGAGGAGAAAACTGAAATACCTTAGACACTTCATAAGTAAAGAGCTAGTTTTAGCTGTTTGAGGAATTCTGGCTAAACCCTACATTGAAAACAGTAGGCTTTGTTCATCTGTCCTGGGCCACCTGAGTGGCAGGATCTCAAGATTGCATTTCCCCACTGATTTCTAACCCTTAGATTAGTCGGGTAAAGGAGTTCCAGTAGCTATTTCTAATCTCAGGTGCCCCGAGCAGACCTATTGTTCATGTAGGTCTTTTCCGCTCATTGTTTACAGACTCTTTTTATGTCCAGTGACGTTGAGGTGGCAGACAATCTATTCTCTTTGTTCACTAGAGCTGGAAAAACAGCTGCCATCCTGGGGCTGGAGAGAGGAAACAGGAGGCCGTGGAGAAATGAGGCCATTTTCATTTATCATGTTCCCAAAGGACTGTTCCACCAGAAGGCCTGATGATTTGTTTAGGATTTTCATCAAAATGATTGCATGCCACCCTCACAACAGCCTCTGAGGACACCAAGGCCTGAAGAGATTCAGTGACTGGGCCAACATTACAGTGCAGTGACAGCACCCCTGTGCTAGGATTCCTTTCCCTACCCTGGATGGTGACAAGTTCCAAGGAGGTGGAGGATAAGAGCCTCAGGACAAAGACACTGATTCTGACAGATGATGGCCATGCTTTCCAGAAGTCAGAAATGCAGGGACAAAGAGCAAGATAAATAAATCACTTCTATGCTGTGCCATGATTCCTTCTAGAAAGATGGGGTAGAAGGAACATTTGGGTAGTTAAAGGACTGGAGTACTGCAAAAATGTGGGGATTAGAGAATTTGCTCTGACCTTCACGATTCTCTCCTTGAGCTCCTCCTTCAGCTAATACACTGCATCCAAAGAGGACAACTGAGTCACTGGGGACATGGATTCTCCACACTGGGCTCTAGAGGTTGAAGCCAGAGATGTGGGAAAAAGAAGTTCTGAAAGGGAATAAGGATTCCTCTACCTTAAACTAAGCATGAAAGGTAGACCCTTGGGTTATAAGCATCTACACCAGTGTTTCTCAACCTTCCTAATGCTGCGACCCTTTAATACAGTTCCTCATTTTGTGGTGATCTCCAACCATAAAATTATTTTGTTGCTACATCATAACTGTATTTTTGCTACTGTTATGAATAATAATGTAAATATCTGTTATGCAGAATATCTAATATGCAACCCCTATGAAAGGGTCGATTGACCCCTCCAAAGGGTTGTGACCCACATGTTAAGAACAGCTGATCTGACAGTGTGAGGGTCTTGAGCAAGTTGACAAGTTGACTCCAGGTTCATTTTCTTAATTTGTGTGCCTGCTTGAAGATGCAAGAGAAAGCAAAATAGCTTATTTCTGACCTGCCAACTCCTCTGGTGGGCAGCAACATGCCATAGAAATACCTTTTGTTCATGGTCTGAGAATTAAGAATTCTGTAAGGGCAGGGCATTTAGCTCTATGGTAGAGTGCTTACCTAGCAAACACAATTCCCCAGGTTTGGTTCCCAATACACACACACACACACACACACACACACACGGGGAGAGAGAGAGAGAGAGAGAGAGAGAGAGAGAGAGAGAGAGAGAGAGAGAGAGAGCTAACAGCACAAAAGTACAAAAACAACAGGGAACTAGGAATTCTTTAAGAACTGGAATTTCATCAAGGGTGCATTAATTTAATACTTCCATCATAGGTAACAGAGGTTCTCTTAGGATACCACAAGAAAAAATGGTTATGGGGAGCTTGCACATATCTTAGGAAGCCACCAGAGATCCCAAACTATCTCTAGGCAGCATTACGCTGTTTTCCACATATGTGGGTGTCAGGCAAGTACTCTACCAACTGAGATATACTCCCAGCCCCTCTTTTCCCATATGTAATTTTTGTGCTTCCCTCTTATTTTTTTGTTCTCACTACTGACTAGAAAACTCACAGTAGATAGAAATAATTCCACAGGATATTACTCTTGTTCTCTCAGTTTGCTGCTATCTGTCCAATTGGGTAGGGTCTTCTGTGTACCTTTATCTGTTATCAAATTGTGTGGTTCATTCATGACATAGCCAAATATATGTGTGTGTATATTTCCTGTATGTATCTATAAGAGAAAGCATATATGCAAATGTTGTCATGTTAACAATTTAGAGATAAAGGGCACGCTGGTGTTTATCACCAAAAAAAAAAAAAAACCACTCCTAATAATATTCTGCTATCTCATAGATCAGTGTCTCCTAGGCAGTCATCAGAAACTTCCTCCTGCAGTGCATGGGAACAATAAGGAGCCCCAGATCTAGACAATGTGCTGATAATGAGAGACATTCAAAACTCAGTCCTAAATGGGATGTCTCCACCAGAACTCTCCACTCAGGCCTCAGAGAACTCTTCAGAGGAGAGACAGAAAGAGTGCAAGAGCCAGAGGGATGGAGGACACTGGGAAACAACAATGTCTTCTATACACAAAAGAACCCATGCACATATGAACTCAGACTGTGTGATCAAGCAAAGGGCCTGCATGGGAGAGGGCCAGATGGGGTCCCAGGGCTGAGAGGAGAAGAGGACACAATCTCACATTCTTACCCCAGTTACCTCCACCTGATAACTGCTCACAAATGAAAAATTAATTATCTCTAATCTTATCTCCATGGGTATACAACCACTTGTGTGGACAGACCCTACGACCAGAAGTCAACACAAAATGAACTCAGTGGCCTTTTTGGAGGTTCTTTGCTGCATAATGCTTTTTTGGGGCATTTATTCATTTATTTGTTTATTTTTTTTAACTTATTGGTCCTTTGCATATATATTAAGTTCTCCAGTTTTGTGCTTTAATGGGATTTCTGTGTGCAAGTGTGTGTGTGTCTGCATCTATATGTGTTACTTGTCCTTTTCTATTCTTTGTTTATTTTGTTCTGTTTGATATGTTTGTTTTTACTCTATCAAAGACTCAAGTCTTTCTTTCTCTCTGTGACATTTGTGCTTAGAAGGTACCCTCTATCCTTAGGAGGGGACAACTGTCAAGAAACTCCTTCCACTCAGCTGAGCTGAGACTTGGCTCATGGAAGTGGCACTATTCTGAGGTGTACTTCTGTTGGAGGAGGTATGACATTATTGGAAAAAGTATTTCACTGTAGGGGTAAGGTTGTGATCTTCTATATGCCCATGCCACACCCAGTTGCTAAGTCCACTTCCTGTTGCCTTCTAATCAAGAAGTACCCAGCACCATGTCTGCCTGCATGCTGTCCATCTAACTGCCGTGTGATGATAATGGACTGAACTTCTGAACTGTAACTTGCCCCCCAAAAAGATATTTTCCTTTATAAGAGTTGCTGTGGTCATGGTGTCTCTTCACAGCAATGGAGACACTAATTAAGACATTCTATAACAGAATAAGAAGAATGTAAGACAAATAATTAAATGACTGAGTTCAGTCCTTCTGTTGAGTAATTGGGGAAAACAAAGATGATTTACAGAGAGGAAAAGCAGCCCCCTTCCACCCTTCATCTCTTGGAAGGGTGGTCCTGACTTTACCATTGGTAATAAAACAGGAAATCAATTTCCACAGTTTAGTAATAATGCAAAGGTATTTTGTCAGAGGGCAAGGATGGCAGGGCTCCATCTCCCATGGTACTATAAATAAAACATCTTTGTATATAGTACTCTGGAATGACAAGACTTTCTCAATAATATTGCAATCATCAATCACCATCTTATGAGACCTATGGATTCTGATGAGAAATCAGGCCAGGGTCTTAAGGGACATTTGCGGTGAAATTTCTTCCTCATATACCCTTGGGTGTCTTGGAACAGAGCATCTTAATACAGCATCTCAGTGCCAGTGAGGAACCACATCTTTTAAATCCACCAGTCTGAGTTTTAAGCAAAAGGAACTGAACATCCTGAATACAGAGATGATGAGGATTGTAAAAGCCAAGTGTTGATACAAAATTTTAGGTCACAATTCTCAAGTCCACTAAAGAACCCTACATAACTTCCTGACAAGTAAAAACCAGTGACCCTAACCCAGGGAACCACAAATCTTCCTGAGTCTATCATTTTCTTTGTTATTATTTATCATTACCATTAAACGCAAAAGGTCATTTTGTCATGGGTTGAATATGATATGTCCTAAACTGTCTCATGTGTTTGGTCCCTTGATCCCCTTAGATAGTCCTGCTTGAGTAATTAGAGAATGCTTGGATGTGTGGCCTGGCTGGAGGCAGTGGGTCCTTAAGAGACTTGGGAGACTGTCAAAGCAGTGAAAACAGTTGCTTCACATGCTGCTGGCAATGAGAACCCACCACCAAGCTGTGCCTGTTAACTCAGAAAGCCTCAGACAAAACAATCTCTGCCTCTCTGAAGTTGTTTTATGGCATAGATTTGAGAGGAGCCATGAAAAGACCTGGAGAATGATGATGCATTGCGGCTAGCTGTGATTTGTCTACAACTCATATGACCTCATAGGGAGCCACTGTGAGGAATGATGGTCCTCCAGCCATATAAGGCACCAGTGGGGCCCGAATCTGTCCTTACGCTGCAATGAGGCTGTCAGTAGGCTACAGAGCAGATGCACTCGTAGTTTTCATTAGAGCTTTATTTTTAGCATCCATCTTTGGAATTGAACATCTGTGATCCCCACTGACCTGAACATAATGAGTTTGCTTCCTGGGGGGCGGGTTTGGGGGCCTGGATTTTGATTTACTGTTTGTAGTTTTGGATTTACTTTGTGCATTTGCTTCAGTTTTTTTTATTACCAGCCATTTTCTATTGTCTACTCATATATCTTTGCCACTTTGTACATAGGTTTATTTCTATACCTTAAAACTTTTGTCAGTATATATTAGCTGCAAAAAATCAGGAGTTTGACTATGTCATGCACTTGGATCCTACCCACCAGCTTTGTTACTTCCCACAGCATTTCCCTGTGTTTATCAATTCCCTTATCATAGTAGGAATCTTCCCCTGCCACCATGCCACTCATGAGAAAACATCCTTTCCATGATCTTGAGGGAGAGTACATTTCCTCATGGCATCATAGTGTCAAGGAAAGGGTACCATCCCTTGATGCCCATAAATACGAGTAAAGATAAATGGATTGAGTATCATGACTGCAGAAACTAGGAGGTCTGCAGCAGTCAGAGTCATTAGAGAATTTGAGGGTCTAGGTGAAAGGGATGTTGAAGAAGCCTGTGTGATCACTCTCTACCTAGTGAATAACCACATCTCTCAGTCAGGTCAGTACAAAGCTCACTGAGTCCATTCTTGGTGCTACTGCTGCTCTCCTTATAGTCAAAATACCCTCCTTCAACTTTGAATGACAGTGGTCTCACATTGTCTTATATATCCAAAATCCTGATCTCTATCAGGAGGTGCTTTCTGTGGAGGTTGTGAAACATCAGGGTGTAGAACCCAGAATGAGAAATTGGGTCATCAGAGGTAACAGAACCTGCAAAAGCCATGCAAGCATGCTTGAGATCCATCTTCCCAAGTCTCCATCCATGCCTTTCCTGTCTGTTGACAGCCAGAGCAAACATAAACCCTATGTACCTTATGTTGCTTCTTCTCAGGGATTTGGTCATGGCCATGAGAAAAGAAATGCAGTACTGGCAGATACAAAGGGGGGAAATTCTCTGGTTGTGAACAGCATGGTTGGTCTCTTGTAATGACCTCATTGGAGCCATTGTGAGGACTTTCAGACCCTGCCCATTTTAGGCACTGGCTGGGTCTGAGTCTTGTGCTCACACTGCAGAGGAGGTGTTGCTTTGTTGGTTGCAGGAAAGTTGGACTCAGAAATTGGGTCACGTAGACTTTGTTACTATCGATCACATGGAAACAGACATAATTGATCTGATTTGATCTCAAGAGCTACAGTTTCTTCCCTGGTTTGCTGGTTTTTATCTATAACTCTTGAATGATTTTTGGATTAATTTGTGATTTTAATTTAATTTTTGTTTTCTACCACCCAAAATTCTACTCTTTTTTTAAATTTTTTAAAAAAAATTTATAATTAATTTATTTTTACATATCAGCCACAGATTCCCCTGTCCTCTCTCCTCCCTCCCCACAACCCCATCTCCTCCAGGGCAAGGACTCCCCTGGGGATTCAGCTCAGCCTGGTAGATTCAGTCAAGGCAGGTCCAGTCCCCTCCTCCCTTCACCCAGGCTGAGCAAAGTGTCCCAGCATAGGCCCCAGGCTCCAAAAAGCCAGCTCATGATAAATGAAGACCCCATGGGAATAGGAAGAAGCAAAGTGTTAGACAGGTCCTCAGAAATCCACAAAGATACCTCCACAATAGACTACTGGCAATGGTTGAGAGAAAGCCCGAACTGATCTACTCTGGTGATCAGATGGCTGGAACATCCTAACTGTCGTGATAGAACTCTCATCCAATGACTGATGGAAGAGGATGCAGAGATCCAGGTCCAGGCCCCAGGTGGAGCTCTGGGAGTCCAATCAGCAAGAGAGAGGAGGGATTGTATGAGCAAGAGATGTTGAGACCATGATTGGAAAAAGCACAGGGACAAATAGCCAAACTAGTGGAAACACATGAACTATGAACCAATAGCTGAGGAGCCCCCAAAATTCTACTGTTAAATGAGCATGATTCTTTGACATTTTTAAAATATGTGTTCTGATTTTAAATGCTTTACTCGTATGAAATAATTGTAGAAAATAAGGAGTTTCACAATGGTGTGAACTTTGAATGCACACCTATATGATTGTATCATAGTGAAAAAGCCATTGAAGCAGCCTGTAGGTTCACACTCCAACTAGTCCAGACCCACATCCCTAATCCAGGTCAGCTCAGCATTCCTGAGTCTATCCTCCTTTATAGTATTGGGTTTACCCCAAGTAAAGACAAAATGTCCTCCTGGAGGTTAGATATGAAAGGCCTCACACTTCCTCATGTATTTAAATGCTTGGTCTCTAGGATGGAGTGCTGATTGGTCTGAGAAATCACAAAACCCTAAAGCACTGGGGAGGAGCAAGAGGAATTAGGTGACTGGATGCAGCAAGGGCCTACCAAAGCCATGTAACCAGCTGCTTCAGACTCATCTTCCCCAAGTCACCTTCCCCAGCTCCTCCAACTGCCATGCCTTCCCTGTCCTCTAAGAACATGGAGAAGGGATGCCTTTTGTCCCTTAAGTTGCATCTTGTTGAGGATTTGTTCACTGCCATGATAAAAAGCAATGCAGTCCCTGGGATCAGATAGAGAAACTACTTTGGGTTATTCCCTGCTGTTGCTGGTCCATCCCTGGCAATGACATCATTTGACCTCTGTGAGAAATGATAGAAATCTGTTCATACAAGACATTGCAGGATGCTGGGCTTAATCCTGAAGCTGCAGAGAAACTCATGTTGATGGAGAACAGTTGGATTCCAGCATTGGTCCTGATACACTTGGGCTTTCCTAGTCTCATGGACCTTGACATTGGGAGTTCTCCTCTGTCGCTGTGGGTTTCATGTTCTGTTTCTTTTTGATTCACACAAACACTGCTTGTGTATTAGACCTTGATTTCTGCTTGTGTTCATTTGCTTTTTATTAACTGGTCCTTTTTCAATAATTTTTCTTGGTCATGTTGTGCTCTGATTTCTTTTGTTTTTTTATTTGAAACTTCAACTGTGCAGAGTAAGAAATATCCCTGTGACACATGTATATGTGCATATAGTGAACTTGAATCATTTTCACCTCCTGTGTCATATTGCAACACCCCTGGCATGTGCTTATATTCTTCCCCTCTTGATTAAGATTCCACCTACCCATCCATGGCTCTAGTTAGTCTCAGTATATCTCTGAGACTTTCACATTACAACAAACTCTATGTCCATGTGTACTTTTCAAAATAACAAAATTTCATTCTTCCTGGCTGAGCATGGCCTCTTCCCTTGACCTTGCCTGTTTATTGTTGATCAGTTTTTGTATGGACTTATCCTAGAACTCCATGATGAACCCAATGTGAACATGAGGTATCTCTATCATGTGTTATTGAACAATGGTGAACAAGGAATCTCATTTCAGATGATGTTCATCAAGTATATTATATTATACACTACGTGTGTGTGTGTGTGTGTGTGTGTGTGTGTGTGTGTGTGTGTGTGTGTTTATGATTTTTAACATAGAGGAATAATGGCTTTTTAGAATATTTAGAATGATGTTTCCTTGTTCTTTGGTGAAGCACCTTGAGTAACATTGATCCCCACTGTTCTTTACAGCCAGCAGGAAGATCCATTATGCAATCTGTTGGTGCTGGGTTGTCCTTACTGGAAGAGATTAATTACATTACTCTTTCAATCTTGTACTCATATCGATCTCTACATGTTTCATAAGCTCTTGAATTTATCATCACACTCAGAATGTAGCAGTGGAAAGGCAGCAGGTGGTGCACTGTGATAACCTCTTCTATCAATGTTGGTGTCTTTTGTGAATTGAGCAATATCTCTCTGTAACTGAAGTTTTCCTGTGTCCCAGCTGGCCCATGGTCAGGACAAATCTCTCTCACCCACCAGTCCTGCAGCCACTTGGACCACACACAGAGGCGTATATTAACTAAAACTGCTCAGCCATTAGCTCAGGCTAACTATTGACTAGCTCTTACCATTAAATTAACCCATAATTCTTATTTATGTTTAGCCACGTGGCTTGGTACCTTTTCTCAGTTCTGCCTTCACATCTTGCTTCCTCTGTGTCTGGTTGGTGACTCCTGACTCAGCCTTCCTGTTCCCAGATTTCTCCTTGTCTGTTTAACCCGCCTATACTTCCTGCCTGGCTACTGGCCAATCAGTGTTTTATTTATCAACCAATAAAAGCAACACATTCACAGCATACAGAAAGACATCTCCAGCATCTCTCTTTGCGGATTGTCAACACTCTGGAATACACGGTTGTCTTGCATCCCCTACGGTTCCCATGGATCTTACTCATCTCTTCCCTGTCTCACATTTCAATAATTTGTGTCTTCCTTTGTGATTCATATCAAGGGTTTGTCAGATTTGTACATCCTTTCAAAGGACCAGATCTTTGTTTCTCTGATCTTTGTTTCAATCTCTAAGTGTCCAGTTATTTCCAGCTCCGATCTTTCTTATGCTTTCTCATAACTGCTTCTGGGTTTGGGTGGTTTTCTTTATTTTAACTTTGACCCCAACATGCACCATTAGGATTTTTGAGAGACCTTTGCTTTTTGTGATGTACAAATTGATAGCTATAACCTTGTCTTCTAGAGCTGATTCTGTTTTTTTTTTTTTTTTTAACTTCTAGTGTCTTGTGGGGGTGCCATTCTCCACCCGAAAAGCTAGAGGACATGGCAGAGGAATTATCGTGGAGGGATCTCAGCGATGACAATTTACAACCAGAATCCATAAAACTAGGATCAAGATGGTCCATCTCCACCCTGGTAAAAACTATGTGTTCCCTTAGCCACATGGCAGAGGACAACTTTGAAATTCCTGGAACAAAGAGACTTTTTGAGACCCTCGCCGAAAATGACATACTGTATGAGAGAAAAATTACTTATGTCATTGGACAAATGGAAAATCATCCAAAGATTTTCTCCACCAAGAGATCTGCACATCGTCTCATCCTCCCTCCCTTTCCCTTAAAGAGGAGATGGAGTGAGCTGGCTCTGCCGACGTTTGTGACAACAGAAGAAGGCAACCAAGGGCAGGAGGTAAATGAAAAAAGTAGCAAGGGCTTCCCTATGTCCAGCTCACCTGATTTACACATCAGATATTAACTCACCTGTGAATTCTGCCCCACAGGGTGATGGTGTGAAGGCATTAGACACATCTAAGGAGACATCTGCCTCACTGGGTGTAACATCAGAGAGGACACATGTGGAGGCTGAGACTGGCCGTACCATCACTTTCAGTCACACAACGCTGGATGTCTTGTACTTCCTAGAGGACACCACGTGCCAGAAGTACCATGGACCACCAGATGATGCTGGCATTATGGAGGAAACCACCAATATGGATTTGAATGACAGTATCAGCCAGACGACAAGTGATCTCATGTTCACTGTTTCCCCTCCACAGCATGGGAGCAGCCAATATGAAACAGTCAAAGACTTAATAAGTAGGGAATCACCATCTACATCTGCCAATGAACAGCCCCAGGAGGTACCCATAGCCTCCAACAGGCACAGGAGAAGGGGCTGGAAGGGCCTGAGGAGGCAGGCTCAGAACCTATTTCGAAGGTTATGTTTCTGTCTTCCCACCCCAAGGAGAGGAGGCACGGCATCCAGGTAAGGGATAACAAAGAATGGAAATGGGAGTCCCAGGGAAATGGAGCAGGTGAGGCCACTAAATTCATATTTGTATTTGATCTTTCCTTTTCAAAGGCACTTTACCACTGACAGGCTGCACCCATTTATAGAACATGAACCTCTATGTGTCTGTGACCCAGAAGCAGCTTTCCCACTGAATCCTGCTCATGAGAAGTCTGGAGAAGCTGAGCCGGGAGCAGACAGCAGAGGGAGGGAGGAGGGCTTTGGGAAAGGGAGCAGAGTTTAGGTGGGGAAGAGTCCTGTAGGGAGCTGTGGTACCACAGGGCAGCTCTTTGCTAGGCCCTTCTATGCCAAAGTCACTAACACTGCTTTGCTTGTGTCTTTCCAAGGGCTGAAGATGAGGCCCAGGCCCGTGGTTCCTAAACCACAGGTCTGTGTTCGGCCTGGTGGGGCATAACAGCCATAGGAGGGAACCAGGCCAGAACGAGAAAGGAGGAGGTTTGCCCCAAACCTCTTGTTAGCTGCCAGACACTGCCAGCAACCAGGGCACAAGCTCTGTAACCCTCCTCTGCTGCAGAGTATGAGGCTTAACTTAACTGGTCCCAAGCACTAGTGGCTGGACAGAGAAGCCAGCCACAGAATCATCTGGTGATGAAGAGGCATCCATCCTGCTCCACAGTCCACATGGAGAAAAGTAAGTGCCCCACATGACTCTGGGTTCTCATCACCTGCTCCTCTCATTTCCAGCAAGAATCAGTGGAGCAGATTCAAAGAAGTGCTTGCACTCTTTACTCCTAGGTGGTAAAGAGGCACAGAATGAGGAGGGGAGAAGAGGAGGCAAGTGGGAGATGTCAAGAGAGAAAAGCAGTAAGAGCGGGAGGAGGAAATGGCATGAAGCAGGACGAGGAGGAGGCGACTTGTCCAGAGGAAATTCCAGTCTGGCAGCAGGAAAGTAAGGGATGAATGTGTAGCGTGACGAAAGAGGCCAAGCCAAGCAGGAGAAGGAGCAAAATTCCCCTCAAGAGGAGAGTTGGGGCTCATGGGGCACAAGACATGGTCTTCTCCTCTTGTGTACCCTCTGCTCTTGTCCTGGGGTGTTCAGGCAGGGTGTGGCTGTAGAGAAGAGAAGCCACATGGTTCCCAGGAGCCTCTTCCTCTTTCTGCTGGACCCTGTCTTGGATTGATCTGGTGACATCTGTGTCTTTGTCTTCACTGCCTTCTTCCTTCAGGGCCAAGGTGCTTGCTGTCCACCCATCCAAAGACTACTCAAACTTATAAATTTCATGTCCCATGGGGGACTCCTTGAATTTGTGAATAGGTGAGCAGTGCTTGACAGGGCTGTGGAACATCACTGCCCAGACAAGGCCAGAAAACTTGGGAATTCTTTAAGCCCAGTACCACCTTCAGGGTTAGGATTAGAAGGAAACCTAATTGTCAAGACACTGTAGATGACAGCTGGTGGTGTGGTCTAGAGCCTTGCTGAGTGAGCTGTCTGCAGTCTTCTCCTGCCCACCTTTCACATAGGGAACATCTTCTTGAGTCACCAAAGGGCACCCCAGCTGACAGAGGGTTGCAGGAGTCTAATCTTCCAGGATCATTCGGGTATAGTAAATTTGTGCCCACTGTGTTTCTCCTTGTGGTGGAAGATGAGTTTCTACATCCTGGTCTTGATGTACATCAACCATCCCTACTGTGTTCCTTTCTTGGCAGAGGCTGATGGCTATGGTCAATGGGAGTATGGTCCTTTGTGACACCTTATTAGTTTGTCTGGAATCCACTTCATTGGCCACATCTTGTACCTGTAGCCATGACCAAGTCCTTTATACAGCATGCTCACCCTAGCCCTAGTGACAGTCATAGTATAATGGGTCAACATTATATATAATTTTACAATACCATTCAGTTCTACATATCAGCCATGGTTCCCCTATTCTCCCCCCTCCCACTCCCTCCCCTTACCCCCAGCCTACCCCCCATTCCCACCTCCTCCAGGACAAGTCCTCCCCCGAGGACTGCGATCAACCTGGTAGACTCAGTCCAGGCAGGTCCAGTCCCTTCCTCCCAGACTGAGCCAAGTGTCCCTGCATA